CTGGGTTACTGTTGAATGATTCTTTGAGTAATGACCAAGTTAAAGATGAAAATCATCACTTTACATGAAAGTAATTTGCTTTACTGGTTTAAGGTTTCTATTTGGTGTTTCTAACGACAAATTTGTTTGAGGTAATTACAAATTGCATGATCCTTGAAGTTTTTTAGCTTAAAGGAAGAAGCTTTTTGCCTTTTTTTGTTCCTTTGTCTTCTCTCTTGTATGACATTCTGTGAATGCTATGCTGTTTCTATCAATCATTCTCCATTTTTTGTTGTGTTTGGTCTTTTTTTCACTAAACGTATCATGTGTTGATTCTATATGTTGAGGGTCAGATGTTGAGCTTCCAGGTAGGCTGCTAAACTTGCTGGATTATCAAAATTGTAGCTTACTTTGGTTTGGAGTGGTCTCTGTTGGGCACGGGCTTCAACAGTAGTCACTCTAGAAGCCCATTTCCGAAGAGGCCCRGYWGRCAGAAGCCCGACGAGCTCGGCCCAGAAGGTGGAAGCCCAACGAGCTCGTTTTAGTAATTAATGATTCGGGCCCGAAGGAAGCCCAGTCATCTTCTGAAGYGGATGACATCRGCGCCGGTCCCGAGGAAACCCTAGTACCTTACTCACTCTATTTTTAGTATAAATAGAGGACCCCATCCCATGAGTTAAGCATGTTCTTTCTATTCTGGGGCAATCATAAAAGAATTTGAGAGCTAAAAACAATCATTCTCTGACACCAAAAAGGAAAGAATCCCCTGATTGAGCTCGATTGATCAAAAACACAAGAGCTGTTCGCTGAAAGACTTAGCAGAATTTATACTCGTTACTCCCAAAAGCCGACCTAAAATACTCATTCAGCGAGCTCGATTTGCACGACCTAGAAAACAGCGACCTTGTATCTTCCAAACTCGATACATAGTTCTTTTTCTGTCACTTATAATATCATTTGCTGTAACCTATTCCGAGTTAGCATCATTAAACGGGAATTTCCGATCCTTTACCGAATACAAATATATTGTCGAATTCCTGGATCAACAGTCTCTAGTTGAAAAGGGTTGTCTTAGAATTGGTGGATAATCGTTAAAAGGAATAAACTTTTTAAAGGA